TGAGAAGACGGGGTAGACCAAAGCTGCGGTGGATGGATGGGGTAACACAAGATGCGGAGAAGATCGGAGTCTGCAACTGGAAAATGCAAGCAAGGGGCAGAACAGAATGGCGTAGAAAGCTTGAGAAGGTCGAGGCCCTCTAAGGGCTGTAGCACCAAGATGATGATGATGATGAATATTTTAGGATCATACCTGTACACACATACTTCTTTATTTAAAATGCGGAGTTCCAAATTTTTACATTTAAATAATAAGTTTCAGCTTTTCTACATTTACTGTAGTCTCCAACATAATGTAGTAGATGTCATTATATTTATATAATTTATTGTTATATTAAAACTTAAAAGTAAAAAGACTACTTATGTCAAGTTATGTTCATTATTAATTAACAAAATGTCTGCGTTTCATGCCTTTGTAATTCCCTTTATTGCATTTGAATTAAACCAGATTCAAGTATATGAGTAGTTCAAAAATAAAAGCAGATTCGATTAGATTATAAATAAATAGATTCTAATGTTCCACCATTGTACTTACTTATTAATTGATTTAAAAATATTTTAAGTAAAATATTTAATTTTGATTACTGATGGTTAAGTATACATTGCACGAGAAGTGGAAAGAGCTACGAATTTCATAGCGGTGCGATGCAGTACTTTATTTATATTACTACTGATTACAGACGAGTAGGCAGTTAAGATATTGGCATCTCAACAGTTTAGTGCTTTAAAAATTAAAAGAAAACGTCAATGGGTGTATGATATCAATCAGAAGAGAAGTACATAAGTAGAATTTCACAATTTGTATCTCAAACTACGAGAGGATAGAAAGCGGTTTTGGAGCTATTTTAGAATGAGCACAAATACTTTTGACTACTTTGTATTTGTCCCTCTGACCTCACAATGCCGGACATTGATGCACGATATTAATAAACTTTTCAATGAGCATTAAAATAATAAAATGTTATTGCATTAATCTGATTGCATCAGAAGACTCTCGCGAATCATCTCTCATTAAGACGGTTCAGCCCGGAGTGGACACATTTCATCCCACCTCTCTTATATAGATATAGCAATTCTAGAAAAACGTGGGTTAAGAATATGAAATAAATTCTGTGAAAGAGGGTGATTCAACTCATAAACCAATCGTACCGATCCTGGGAGCAGGAGAAACAAACTACTTGCAACCCCACAAAAGGAAAAGGACGTTGTCAAACTTTAAAAGAATTGAGGGAAACAATCGAGACAGAACCCACAATAAACACAAAACAAGAACTGAAAGAATGTGTTGTAAAACTTAAAGAAAAAACCATAGAAAACGCAATCAATGCTAGTACTACATAATAAGAAACAACAACCACCAAAAGAAGATTAAGGGACGTCAGCAACGAGCTGAAAAATCTGACAAAAAGAAAAAGAGCCAACAGAACAAGAAACCAAGAAGACAAAAGAATTGCTAATGAACTAAATGGAAAGATCAAAAATAATTAGAAGTACACAGAAATGAAAGCTGGGACAACTGCAGCATATTCAGCAGCTGAACAAAACAAATCTGCGTTCTGGAAGCTTGCAAACCTTAATGTACAAACAGGAAAAATAAACAGAACGTCCAAAATTACATATCAGGGAAGCGCTGAATATACCTAGACAGGTTCCACTGAGGTATATATTTACGGATTCACAACAAGAGATAATCCTGACAACGATGGACGAAAGAACGCACGAAATTTTAAACAATCTCAGGAACCATCCGAACAGAGTATTACGAGGGTTAACAGACTACGAAGAAAACGTAAGGATAGTGCATAGATGGCAACAACGAAAGATATGCAACATCTGTTGCCTATCAAAGACAGGCAACAACTAGCTGGATATAGAGAAAACCCAGAGGATCAATGAAGAAATAAGATAGCCCACCGTATGCAGTAGCAGTAGTCCTTAATAAATTTACATTCCTCTATATTATATTTTATTTCTTTTATTTAGCAATTTTTATTTTTTTTAACCAGTTACACTAAAAAAAAAAAATAAATAAAAACCACAAAAACATAACACAAGGCGTGTGATGGTACCTGTGAATGCACACCCCAACCATTACCACTTTCTTTTTCATACTATTTGATCTTAACCGCTTACTGACAACCTTCTGTTATAGCAGCCATAAAAACAAACACCGACACGTCAAGTAAGTGCTGATTCTCCGTCGCATACATACACAAGATGCTCATCAGACAAAAGATCCTTCAGGCGAATCGCCCTTTAGGCAAACTGCCCTTCAGGTAAATCGCCCCCCCCCCCGGGTAAACTGTCCTTCAGGAAAGTACACATCAGATAGATTAAATGGACCATAAGCCGCGAAACCTGGACATTGAGGTTACGTGCAATCAGCGTGGGCTCGATGGCCAGTCCTTTCGGGTGCTCAGTGGCGAGAAGAACAAAATTTATTTTACCTCTTACCTTTATTTTACCTTTACCTTTATTATTTAACCTCATATTAATTAAAAATTTATTTCACCAATTCGGCAGCTGAATAAACGAACACACACATTTCGGATATGGAGACATCACCTTAGGTTGGTGGCTCTCTATCCGGAACACACACTTTTTTGGAGACACAAGTTCCAAAGTCATGAAATAAAAGCAAATTCAGTCAATCCTAGGGAGAAAAGCTGTTCCAGTTACACCTAAAATTAGGTGGCCTAACCACACAAGTAAAACACAAGATGTCCCATTATCCAGGGCATCTAAAGCAACGTTCAGTACGCAAGCCTTCCTATTCGTTATGTCTTGCGGTGAGAAAGTGTGGTGGCATAACTTGGAGATCAGATAGGTATCTCTCCAGGACGGAGTGTGACCGGTTTGATTTTCTGATCTGTGGTAATATTCTGCAGATTTAAATTAAAAGATTGCTGCAAACGAGATCAGAGGTACTGAAACAACGAATATTTTTTTCTCATCAAATCCTCAACTTTCTTTAACGACTAATAAAATCTTAGATACAAGTCATGCCGATCCAAGATAATGAATTCAGTCACACTGTTACAAAGCAAATTACGTTATTTAAATAAGGTCGTCCGAAACACACGACGAAGAAAGAAGTGACAGAGTATACCGGCGGTTAGATCAGATTAGTGTTCATGTGAAATCGTTTGTATCATGGGTGCAAAACAGATACAAAATTCTCAAAAAAATTTTTTTCAACCATATTTATCCACTCCTGGACATATATCTTAAGTTCTTCCATTGATCTCTTCTTGTGCTTTGGGTATCCATTGTTTTTATACCGTAGTCGGGTATCATATGCATATATTTGCTGAGGCATGCCTCATCTTTTTTCGTTTGTCTCGGTCCCCCTTGTCACTCTACGAGCTCATCTGTTGTCAGATTGTCTTTTCACATAAGCATCCCAATGCAATTTTATTTTTATCAATTTTTCTATTATATCTGTGATTTTTTTACCTTCGGACTTCACTGTTCCGCTATGGAGACCTGGAAAGACAAGTGGGAGATCAAGAATAAAATTCAAATAGACTGGTAGGATGTCTTAATAACAGTATCTGGCGAAACCGATGTATTAACAACACTGAGGATGATGTCAATAATAATTAAGAATCAAAAAGTCAATATAAGATAAATTGGAGGACTGGGGAGGGGAGCAGCTAAGGATGCAGGAGGAGACCAGGACCCGACTTGGACTGTAGCGCCATAGCAGAGAGAAAATATAAGACCAATAATGCCGTATGCACCAGAAACAAAACCAGACAGAATCACAAACAGGAAAATCACTATGCGACCAAAAGGAGAAGTGAAAACATTAGAAGAAAATGTACCATATAGGGTATAAACGAGTGGAAACTAAACAGAAAAAAGAATGGTATAATCACATAATTGATGGATTCGACCGTTACTTGATGGAAACTCATTTTATGTAACAATAAAACACTGAAAACTTTGTTTTCAAACTTCCACAAAATTTATTTTAAATCTTATCACTACAGCTGTTTCACTTGAGAAAGGCTATCAGCCGAAACAGCTGTAGTGATAAGATTCTACGAAAACAATTAAAAATACAATCCGTTTGTTGTTCTCTATTTCTATGGTGAATTGGATCAGGGAATTGCTTTTTCACCTTTAAATATCTACGACCAAAAACCAAAAAGGTATTTTCAAAAGTGCTTCCAAAATTTACTCTTGGTTTAAAAAATAACTAGGTAGAAACATTCATTGCAAAAGTATAATTAATAATCCTTAAATTATTATAAGTATTAATTTAAGAACTATTTGAATTTGAACTTCTCATACACTTGATTACTTGTTTACTAAACGGAATGATGAAATTAACCCACTGTTTTTTATGATAAAGAATTAGTTATTTCATTAAATGATATGAAAATCCCTTGAAAGTAGCATGTAACGCTGACATTGCGTGAATATAATCATTGCCATAAACATTTGGTTGTTCTTTTAACAAATAATTGTTATTCAAATTCTGAAAATGTTCGGAAAACATAATAGTTACAGTATCTCTTTGTATTTTTAAACAAAGAACACATATACGTGATAGCTAATACACGGCGATCCATAAGATTTGTGTGAGGTCACATCATCATTGATCTTTACTAAACAAACCGAGTTAGCTATTTTGATTTGATTGAATGATTTCAGAACAGAAGCGGCTAGTAGGATATACCTATGTTTTAGACAATACGCAGATCTTTACATGGTGTTGTCAGATATTACATTTTTCATTACCTAAGTAATTTTGACTAAACTTACGTAACAATTTCTACACCGATTTTCCGAAATGTAAACATTTCGAACTTTATGTGCTGCCATTCTCTCTGCCTTCATCCCTATGCGGGGTTGGTTTATTTTTTATATTTTGTATATGTGTTCCCGACTTTATATGTTTTTAATTACAAAAATGTATTTCAAACATGTTTTCAGAATATGAATATAAAAACTCCCGACAGACCTTTTAAATGATAGTTTATTTAAACATACCTGAGATACATCACCACGATCGTTTGATTCTTCATCGGCACTTATGTGAAAACGACGTTCAAATACTTCTCTTTGCTCTTCGGTTTCACCACTGTGAATATCCTGATTGCTGAAAGAAAAATCGTAAATAAATTCTATGGCGTTGAAATTGGTTGTGTTTTTGAATGATAATTTTTGTTAGTCATTTTATTAACAAAATTCTATATTTTATTGAGCAGTGTATTTTTATTAATAGTATTTACAAAGTTGATCCATGATTTGTTTTTCGTGAAAACAAATTTGCATTTAGCTTGGATGTGTTTAAATTCTAGATAATTTTTAAGATTGAAGACAATATTATACTCGATACACAAAGATATTAAATTTTCACAGTCGTCATTCCACCATACGGAAGACCGGATTTTGGTTGAAATGATTTTTGAGTTCTAATGAGAAATGAGAATTCTAATTATTGGTTTTTTTATTAAAAAAATCGTACGCCATTGGGCTTAAAAAAGTTTATTAAAATATATGTATTAATAACGAAGTTATGATAACTTAAAATTTTAAAGTTTACTAAGCCACGAGTCAAAAAAGACCATCTTGTGTCAACTGACTATCATAGAAACATAAATTTAGTTTAAATCCGAGTTGTCTCCCCCAATACACTATCTAATTGGATACATTTGTCGGCGCGCTTACGAATATTTCTGATTATATTTCTTAGTTGTTAGGGAATAATTTCTGCACATGCCTGTCTGTCGAATCCTTGCACGTCTCTTGGTAAACTTTTTGTTTGATAACTCCCCAGAGAAGTCTAAAATTGTGGGATCTGTATATAAGGTTGGAGCTCAAATTTATTTTTTAAATGACATTTTTTCGTATTTTCAGTCTGAAGTGCCCCAAGGTAATTGAAATTTTGGAATTTTGTAAAAAAAATTTTAATTCGACAAGGTCAACGATAATGTTTTTTATTCATTTATTTGAGCTATTAGGATTATAAATAATACGAAGAAAAAATAGTTAATACAAAATAAAAAAAATATGCTTACAAATTCAAGAATAACATAAAAAATCATTATGAATGATAGTCTTTCTTACTGTCAAATTTAGACAACAAAAGGCATGATTTCAGCTTATTCTTAATAAATCCATCTCTCCTCTGTGGTCCACAGACGGCAGCACTTGCTTCTGTAACTAATTTGACACACCTTTCAGTGGATTGTGTGTGACACGGAATTTTTCTAATATTCTTCAGGATTTCATTTTCGACAAGCTGTGGCTCTATGATAGCCTGAGATATTATTTCGATACTGATACTCTTCGTTAGTGGAAGTTCTGTCTTGGTTTTCCAATCTATCATATCGATATAATTATGAGCATCCATATTTAAAAAAGGTACTTGGAAAATAGGCAAGGCTCCGATATTTGATGTCTTTCTGATCTTCAATATTCTGCAAGATTCTTATCTCAGATAAGAATAGAATGATATAAAATGTCAATTTATTCTCTTACACTTAATCTTGCAGTCATGTCATAAAATATTTTTAAAAGACCTGGACCTAAATATTGTTGCCGTGCATTTGAAATTTGTCACAAATGCTAAACAGTAATATCATTTTACTATAATAAGATTTAAGTTGAAATAATAGGTTTTATAGCTTGTAAAGTTAATAACCGTGTAATAAGTGTGTTACTTTCAATAAATTTTAATGCAACTTTCAAATATTTTTCATTCAGTCAATGTTTATCATTAAAATTATTTAAAAAATAATAATTTTCATTACTATCTGTAGATACAGGGCGTTCTTTGGTAAATCGTCGCTTAACAAATTTGAAAATTAGTTGTCATAACTTGGTTATCAACAAATATATTTTATATATATTCGAAGCCATTATAAATCCAGTGGCGTAGGAATTGTTTGAATTAAAAGATCCTTAATACAAACTCTCCATTTTCTACTAAGACAAATTATCGTAGTAAGAACTGGGTATTTGAATAAACATTTTAAATTATATCCCGAAGTAGATCTTTTAATACATAATATTTAAAAAGAAAATTGGCTAAAATCGGTTATCAACTTCAAATAGACTACCATAACATTAAATGCATCAACCTTTAGTCAAAAGTTATGTTGGCCCGCTTTGCTATTAAAAAATTTAAATCCCGCAGAATTATCGTGATTTTAGCATACAAACTTTGATCACATCTATAGAATTATTAACAAGAACTATAAACAATTGATCAACAAGCGGCTAAAGCGCCTTTTTTTTAAATAAGACAATTACATGTAAGTACACATAATTATTTTCTTTGAATTATTTTACTTAAAATAAATATTATACCTTAATGTTGGTCTCTCCCACTGAGTAGTCCTTGCTATATGATTGACATAGTACGTTCGTCCATTGGCATCTTGTCTTTCTTCCCAACCAGATGGCAACGTACTTGGCTGCGATTCTGTCGTTGGAGTGATGTATAAGGGCTGCAATGAATAATTCAGGTTAGAATAGTTTTAAACACCTAGAAGAAACATTGATTTTTAACAACAGAAGTATTAAGTTAGTAAGTCATCATTTTGCTGGATTTCCGAATTAAATTACCATCCTGAACATTTCATTTCACTTGTAACAGGAGATATCGCTGCTGCACATTAACTACGATTGCAAGATCCCCATTGTGAAGTCAATAAAGCCTAGTGAGTCGAGTAGCCATTCAAGTTATTTGTACAAGTAAGTTTAATCAATTATTCATGTTCGAAGGGCATTCAAGTAAATCATTTACACTATTCAAGTAAAATATCTGAATTTGAACAGAGATAAAATTGAAACGAAAAAGATCGTTTGTTCCAGCACCAGACTTTTTATGTTTTGCAATTTTAACACGTTCTTGGGAATATATTCTGCTCAGATTTTTTATTTTGTTCTTCACATCTTGAGGACTAAAATCATCTATTTTCCTTTCTTGTTCTATCTTAGTAATAGCAGAATCTCTCATTTGATTATGTCTATACTGACTACTAGATATATCCGAAAGGTATGTTTGTTTTTCGTAAAACTCCACAAACTTCAATGTTGTCTGCTTATTCCATTTCTATTTTTTAAATAAAATTTAAATACTTATAAATCAACTTTACACGACCAATTCTTAACAGTAAGTACGTATTTATTTGAACGACTGTTATACATGAAGCAAGTGTGAGATAGGCCGTTCAACTATGGTCCCACTACCACTGCGTTCCGTGTTGAGAGGCACCTTCTTGAACAAATAAGTTAGATGGCTTTCAAGATACTTGACTTTCTTGGCTGCTTGTTGAAGTTCTTGATCAAGCGCTTGAATATTTGTCTACACGGTTCCAGTTACTGGTGTCCAGTTTCTTGCTCAAGTAACTTGAGTGGCCACTCAACTCATGTAAACTTTACTTAAGAGATTAAGCGCAGCTCAATTTAAACATTGTGAGATATAAAAATAGAAAACTAATTTAGCTTTCTCCCATGTTGTTCAGATTTGCTAGAAAATAGAACCACCATAGTTAAAACCGTCAAAAAGAATGAGCTTTAGGCAATTTTTATAAAAACAAAAGAAAGTCCAATATACATTAGAATTTTTTACTTTTTCGAAACCCGAAGTGTCACGGTCATATGATCCAAAGAAAAATAAGAACTTGCTACTTTTTCAACTTTACATTCTGACGATAAAATTGATAATAGCATCCAGGAAAAATGTAAGAATAAATTGTTACCTTTTATAATACATTCTGTTCATACATTCTAATACATTCATGTCTATTAACATTCCTTTGTTTTATAATAATTGAAGATATAAAATTACCAACGTATATTTGGTAAACATTTGGCCAACACTAATAAAAAATGCAACAATTATTTCCATTTTTGATGCGTCTATTTTAGAAAAACCAGTATGTAAACTAATTTACACTGCGAGCATAATGCCCACGAATGGGCATTACATGTCACTTCTTTGACAGTGACAGCTGCAGGGTTAATAGGCACATATTCTAGGTTAATAATTACATAACCGTCTTTCTAGTATTTTTTAAGCTGCCTGTTCATCTTCCATTTATTCATGATATGACACCGATTCCCGGATTGTGGAACCCTGTACCAGCTTGTACAGGTCTATAATAGGATGGGTACCATATGTTTTTGGAGTCACTCGATAGTTCCGAAAAGTGTTTGCGCTTGCGATTTAATTCCTCACAGTCATGCAAGATAGAGTTGACTGTTTCAGGTCATCTGCTAATAGTTAAGTCTCCACGAAACAGTCCCATTGTATTCAGACGTCCCTTGACTGGCGCATGTTTAGTAAACAAGCCTGTTATGATTCTCAGCGGATTCCTGCTTGTTTTTAGCAGTATTTCAGCCCCAATAGCATACGTCCGTTTAATATACATTTTTCAATGTGCTTGCCTGGGTATATGTTCCCAGTGAGCGTTCCCGGGTATATTTTTCCTCTTCTGGCCAGTTCATCTGCTCTTTAATGCCATGTAGTCCAGCGTGTCCTAGAACCCATAGTTGCTTTCGTTATTCCCACACCAGCCCAGAGTCCTGATTAGAGCTTTTGAGAGTCCCATCATATGAATGTCGCTGCCCTCATGTGAATTTCCCTTGCACAGTACAATAATTTCAAAAATCTCTGCCTGAAATACAGAGGTATATTCTTCTAGTGAAAAGGAATGTTTAAATTTCTATCATTAATGAATATTCCTACACCGGACCTTCTTCAGTTTAAACACGTCTGTAAACCAAGTATAACTTTGTAATCTGGGTCCTACCCCATCCCTCTCGTTGACAATTGTCCATTTGACAAGTGCTTAAGGGCATTTTCTGAGCACATAGTTAGAAATCATCATCCATTCGATATTTCCGATGTCATTCATGTTGTGACATGTCTTGCTCTAACAGTTACGTTGCTCAGGTTTTTTCGTAGTCTATAATATTCCATTCTTGCCTCCTCTTAACTAAATAAGGGAACGAAATAAACTCTTGGGACGAGATACTGTCAGACAGGCAGTGCGCCTTTACGCAGTGATTTGTCCATTCACTATGGTGAAAAAAGTGTTCGTGTGTGTGGGTAATATTCAATTGACAAATCTACAGAAACGATATAGTTACAGTCCCTATGCCAGGTTCTTAGTTGATCTACAAGTGTTTATTTGGTTACATTTTATTCAAACCAGTCTTATTTATATATCAACCACTGAAAAAAAATACCTGAAAGTATTGTTCTTTAATAAAGCACAGTGAGTCTCTAAGCGAAAAAATGTCGCACAAAATTATGAAAAATGTCTTGTAGTTAATGAACAATGTCCACGACTTTATATTTGTGCACCTTTGACTGCCCTCCTCTAACATTAATTGTTGCAATACACCTTGCAAACTTTTAATAACCCTTTGGATGTACTCCATCAATATATTTCTCCATTGTTCCAAAACAATATCTGAGCAACTGAATGGTCTGTGGTGCAAATATACAATTGCGAATACGTCAATCAAGTATAATCCACAAATGTTTAATAAGGTTTTGATTGAGTCTCGGCGACATAAATTCAATTTGCGGTCCCAACAGGGTCCCGCTCTATACGCACGAAGACGACCAGCGTGTTAGATGGAACTTAGATAGAGATTGAAATTGCTGGATACAGCAAATTTTCTTGTAGTTTATAGCTCTGGCTAGTGAATACACGAAGCAATTAAAGAAAAAACGAAATTTGAAGGTTCTACATAAGTTAAACACATTTTCGATCCCAATTTTTACTCATTTTTTCAAAGTATTTTTTTTTGTATAAAAAAATCAAATCAAAGACTTGACCTAATGAAAACTCCTTCGTTTATTTACTAACCAGAGGTACAATCTACAAAAAAAAATAAATTTTTTTAATTTCAGATGAGGCTAGACCTAGATATCATGTCCACCGCAAGAAAAAGGCAGTTGGCGAAAAATTACTGTGAATTTAACAAAAATGAATATTTTTGGCTGAAATTATTTTTTCAGAGTACTTTAAGTACTATACTTTTATATGTCTTTAAGTACTATACTTTTTGAGATATAATTTTTTAAAAACTCTTTTTTTATACCTTCACGACCTATGTAACCCCTTAATTTTTAGTTTTTTTTTTTCAAACAAAACATTCAACAAATATAACTCGTCCAGATAAAAAGAAACAGTCTATAAAGGGCTGTAGGTGGTTATGCTTTTTCTTAGCCTTAGTCACTGAGACTAAGGCTCACACATATATCGAGGCGTTCTTGTTTTCTCATTCACGCTCACGTTCAGATAGCCGTTGCCATTTACAGATTGTTTCTTTATCTGGATGAGTTATACCTACACCTTATTTCACAGACGTTTTTTTTTCTTTTCAGATTTATTGCTGCTCCAGTTACTCCAATATAAATTAAAATGTCTCTTGAATATGATAAAAAAATTGTGGGACTTTTTCACAAAACTGGATGTGGGGCGAAGTGCAAGATGCTCTTTATGCTCAAAAAAATTATTGATTAGCAGCCGCTCAATAACAGGCTTAAAAGGACATCTGAAAAGATACAAAACGTCTCTTCTTCAAGTTCCAGCACCAGCACCATTCTACCAGCCCCAATGCCCCCAAAGCAACCTCGTCAAAAATGAAGATAATCAGGAAGTAATTCCGAGCCAAAAGTTGAAGAAGACTGATTCCTACTTTGAAAGAGAAGGATTCTATGGAAGATATAGTTACTAGCATGGTTTGCAAAGATGGTTTTAGCTTGAGATCATTTTGTACCTCACCCGACTTGAGACGATTATTCGCAAAAAGTGGATTCCAATTACCAACTTCTTCGAACACTATAAGAGCGATAATTTACAGGTATACAGAGAAAGTCCAAGTAAATCTTATAAAAGAATTTACTAATTTAAAACAAAAAGGACAAAGATTTTCGTTGAGCTTCGACGAGTGGACCTCCCAAAAAAATCACAGATACATAAATCTCAATTTGCACAATGTTGGACAGTTTAATCTAGGTTTGATTAGAATTCACGGCTCGTGCCCTGCCGAACACTGCATTGAATTAGTGGCAGAACGGTTGAACATTTTTTGGTTTAATGATTGAATCCGACACCATTGGTACCACAACCGACGGCGCATCCGTTATGGTGAAAGTTGGCAAGCTCATGCCTTGCTATCAACAACTGTGCTATGCACATTGAATTCATTTGGCTGTAGTAGACGTGCTGTATAAAAAGAAACCTCAAAGAGAAGTAGAACAAGTAGCAATAGACGACACTGATGAATATGAAAACGCAAATGAAAATATGAAGACAGAGGTGAATGAAGGATTGGCAGTATCAGTCGAACCAACATCCTAAAAGTATGCATCGATAGACATTGATTCTGCGATAAAATTCTCTGCTGGCGAGTGGTCAATAATCAATGAGTTGATCGCCACTCTTCAACCGGTGAAACTGGCTGTAGAAGCTCTTTGCAGAAG